CCTTTATCAGATATGGGAATGCAGTCGTTCTAAATACCGCAGCTGAAGCCCCGATGTCGTGCATGGGAACTATGATTGTTATTCTGGCCATCGGTTCTATAAAAGAGTCAATCAGAATAAATGAGATTCCAGCGACATAAATGACTTGTTTTCAGGAAAATTTCCTTCGAAGATAGCCCTCAGGGGAGTGTGCTCGCTACTCGCTTCATCAATCTTCGAAATGGTTCTTTCTTGTTGCACGAATGAGTTGAAATCGAACTTTCGAGTGAATATTTGCAAATAAATCGATAGAGATCGTTTCTTCGGTCGTTTTTCTTGAGTACCGTAGTAAGCGTCGTTAGGAGGGAAAGATGTTGTACAAATAACGCTGGAACAAATATTTTCAAACATTTTCAATGCAGGCAGACGATTTCTGTATAGACGGCCGAGAAACTCGACATGCGGTGAGCGTGCGGCCGCGTCGCGTTCTACGAGAATTTCGTTGAACGCGACGCGACCGCACGTCACATTTCCGCATATTCCTACTGGAAACAATATTTACTCTTTCCTGAAATGTTGGATAGTTGCCATCATAGCGCAGAATTTATATCACATTTAACAAATAAAACATTCAAATAACGATCAATATGCATGTGGAAGATTTGCACGAAGCTTGGCGGAAGAATCAGAGTAGGGAACGCGAGCGGGAAAAAAGGGCCGCCGTCCTAGACAACCCCGAGAAGACGATCGGAAGGGTGCATTCCTTGCTAGACGGCGTGAGTCTGTGTGGTACTGTCGCCTGGGGATGGCCGGCTGAATCTGGGACCACCGGGCAGACGGCGGAAAACTTACACATTTCTTGGGAAATTGCGAGATTTGCGATTAATCATATAATCACACTAAGAAATACCACATAACGCGAGAAAAAACATGATGAGGAAAATAAAATTACAAAATTAATAATATTAATTAATGTAATACTTAAATAGCACGTGTTCAGACACCAATATATCCTAAATGGAGATTCAAGAGGTCGAAAGAGTGTGCGTATGTGCGCGTACAACGGGACAGAATAGAGACCATGGAGACCGGGATAGAATGAAAATGCTGTAAAATCACTACAAGACCGGGAAAGGAACGACTATGCTGAGGATGGGCTATTGCTGGGAAAAAAGGCTTATGCTGGCTGGCTAAGAATTGACGATACGGTAATAAATAATCAGTGAAAGAGAATGAAATGATTGCGGAAGTTGCACTGTGAAAGATCACTTTTAATCGGAAGATATCGTCTGAGGAGTGGTGTTCTCTCGAAGGTTGAGCGAACCGTTGAGATGATCCTTGAGATGTTGTTCCAGCTCACTTGGCGATGCGCAAACCTTAAACGGTGACATGAGGTATGGTTGACTTTATTGGAGACAAAGATTCACACCTAGAAAGGGGAATGAAGCTAGCACGAAGGGCATCAGACCCTTCAGAGAGAGATAAAGGCATTTTGATAACCGTTGCGATTGAGAGCTGAGGTGGTGAGTGGGCGGTGGCGAAGAAAAACTGACAAGGGAGGTCGTTCAGGGTGTGCCAAGCTTTTTCAAAATGGTTTCTTGCATGACATTGGGGCACATATGGGGACCACAGAACATGGTTCATTTTTCCTGAACGGCCCTCTGAATACCAGAAAAGGGGTCCCTAGTTCGATTCCTCGTGGTGACAAATTTTTGCATTTCGAGTTGACGTTTCAAAATTCGCGCAAAATGGAGTTAGCATGAATAATTAGTACCATATTCATGATTAGGACCGTCAGTAACCCCATAATTAGTATAATTCATGCTATACGAAGTTATAAATAGAGCTTTGATTGAAAAGGTGAAAAAGGTGTGACTAGGGACCCCCTTTTCTGGTATTCAGAGGGCCGTTCAGGAAAAATTAACCATGGTTCTGTGGTTCCCGCATGTACCCCTATATATCATGCAAAAGACCGTTTTGAAAAAGCTTGGCACACCCTGAACGACCATCCCTGTGAGAGAAAAAGCGTAAGTCCGCGAGATGAAACAACTTTTTGTTCTGTTGATCCTCGCGCTGGACAGATCAACATGATGACGTCACTGTGGGCATATGTCCCGTCTGATCTCTCTGCTTCTCTCCTTCCGCTCATCTACAACAAGGAACCATTCGCTCACACGCCAACGCACATTCATCAGCCGACCCCGCACCACTAAAAGCCGAGTACCGCCCGCTACCGCCATACCGCGGGTCTCACTTCATCACAAGGTAAGGTCTTTGTGGGTTGCTGCGGGCACCCTTTACCTGGACGGGGCACTATTCTCCTATTCCGAAAAGGTTTTCTTTTATGAAGTCAAATAGTTTAATTTAATCATTTCGATGCCTGCCCCTGGTCACATGCCGATAGCTCTTCCTTGTCATTGCATAGATACTAGCAGTGCTGGTAATAGCGAAGGATTACCTTTTAATAGCGGAAGGTTCCTCAGCCGCAGTGACAAAGCAACCCTAAAACGGACCATCTTGAAGCGCATAAACGGCACCTTCTGACCTGGCGGTGACCTCTACCGTGGAAGGGTGCTGTTCCTGTGTCTGCAGGTGGAGATCTATGTTAATCCATCTAAACTACCATGGTAAAGTCTGAAGTCAGAACGCTTATCCATTATAGTGTTCCCCTCATCGGTCGTCTGACACTGGTATGGATTCTCGAGCGAGCCGCTTTAGCCCGAGTGTGGAAATTAGCGGAACACGTGTCCCGCATCAACGTGTTGCAGCGCGATACAAACGAGAGGCTATCTCTAGTAAGGATGCGTCATGGCATTGGCGCTCATTCAAGAAATGGTTGTGGGTTGCTCAATCCGTATTTGTCTAACGTCATCACAGACATATGTGGTTGTATTGTTTTTTTTTTTTTTTTGGCTAGAATGGCGCGGAAGTCGTGTTAGTGGCACGTGCACGCTCACCAAGGCGAGCGGTCCGGGGGATCAAATCCCGGGTCGTGAGTCGCCCGGGCCAACAAACCAAGCCTTCCATCCCTCCGGGGTCGGTTAATTGGTACCAGACTTGTCTGGGAGGATAAAAACACTGACTTGTACATCGGCTGGCCCCCGCAAGTCATTGTATAGGCCACATCGCATTCAAACGCCACTACGAATGTACAAATGGAAGTAGAATGCGTGCCGCATCCCAAAAAGGGATTGATCAACGGCAAATGCTTTATCCTTTATCCTTTATTCGTATAACTTCGTATAATATTTGCATTATTGAAGGTATTTTTAACAAGACATCCCTTTACAAACTTTCCCTCAGTCATCATTGGCGGCTTTGTTCTGAAAAAGGAACAGGCTAGGAGATTTCATTCTAGGGCTAATCGATTAGCTCTAGCAAATGAAGTGGATCCAAATAGTATTTACAGTGGCGGTAGCATACCGAAGCTCCCACCGGGTCGGTCAAACGCCCAAGAAGAAGAAGTTATAGTGCAAGGTCGGAAAACTTGTGCTTAAAATAGTGCAACTCTGCTACAGATTTCTTGATGACCCACTCAAGAGCTCACCTTTTGGCAAACGGAGCATACCGTCCGCCAAAGCATCATCATCATCTCCATGTTGGTGGGACCGAATAGACCAAGCGGTGGCGGCATCGGCAGAGCGCCACCTCCTGGCAGTGAACCAGGACGAGGTCCAGCCTCTTCAGCGGAACCAGTGTCGAATATTCGGCGACCTATGTCATCTATGTCTTGGATAGAAGACATCTAACTAATGATAGCTGACTCTGAAAAAATCGTTCTCACCTCTTCGGCTGGGGCTCTGCTGCCACATGTGGGTGCCCATGTGAACTTTCAGATTTCCTCTTGTTGTGAACGCTCGACCACACATCTCACATTTGAACGGTTTGTCACCTGAAACGGAAGGCTTTCCAAAGTAAGGCCAAAAGGGGGTAACCTCCTAGCCAACGGGTGAAATGAGAGAAAACTAAAGTACACACCGAAATTACCTGTATGGGTCCTCATATGGATCTGCAGGGCTGAACTAGGAACTGAAGTGCTTGAAACAGACAGCGCACTGATGTTTGGACAGTACTGGCAGCTGGAAATTTAGCGTTGTTGCTAGGTTTGGCTGGACAATGTCAATATCATTGGTTTTTTATTACTTATTGTTTGTTTTTTTTCCCCTGTAAATTTTAAAAAGAAAGCCCGTTGTCACAGGCAAATTTACTTATTTATTTATTTGATAAAATTTATTTCAATTATAGCCCCTATAAAGCCACGCCTACCTGTCGCGGTGGAGGCGGTTCTGTCTCCGCCCACATCTTCTGCATGGCTTCCAAAGGGGTTATCGACCGGTAGGTTCGGTGTGTAGTTGGAGCGGGCTAAAATATTCACATTTTGCTGTTCTCTCGTAATAGAAATGAGCTTGATGGAGAGGTGAAATGCAAAAATTACCGGCCGCTCCAAAGCAGTGATAGCGGCTGCTTCTGGAAGGCTTGCTGGCCTTTGCGATCGTCTACGTCAGACTCCCCCGACCGTCCTATCGAGGAGCCATCAGCGCTGATAGTTTTTTCAAATTGTTTACTACCGTTTTGGACGCTAAAAAATCAAAACTCACTGGGCCGTGAGTTTGTTCCGTTGGAGGCGGAAGCCATCACTGCTTACCAACGACGGAGAAATCGAGGACATGCTCCAACCTTCTGTGAATCCCAAAGTTGGAAGAGACGGAATTTTCAGAGGGTCTTCCTGTCTAGAAGATACTCGCGTTACTTTCATATTGTGTCAGTATAATCCGTGATGAATTTTGGAGGTTGGGGTGGTGTATTTGTACAAGACGCCATTTCCATGTACATCTTGTGAGGACAATTTCTTGCAGGTAACAAACCTACCTACCTTATCTGCTGTCAATCAATGACTTGAGGTCAGCTTAGCGATGAAAACATGGCCGAAGCGATGACTAGCCTAATTTGTTGAATTTGCTAAACCACACAAGAGTCTCTCAAAAGTTCAGAAACGGATTCGAGCGCGTGGCACATTCTTCAATGTACAGCGGGATATTTTCCAGGTGTTCCAGTTCTCTTCGTCAGATCGGGTCGCTTAAAATTAGAAGGGCCACTCATCTGCCTGAAGCAAGCTAGGGCTAAGCCTAGGCTCAGTCATATGTATACGCATAAGCTTAAATCTAAGCCTAAACCTAGCATCCAGGTTTCTGGTGAGCTGAACTATGAGTGAACGACGTCCCACCTATTCACCCCTATCCGCTTCTTTGTCATGCGTTGATAGAGGACTATGTCCAGTGCAGTAAAGACAGACGGTAGGGTAGCATTTTGATCTAGACAGTAGAACTGTTGTGGGTAGGGTCAACCCTGACGGTGGTGGAATATTCATCTGACAGAAAGACCCACTAACAAAACCACCCTTTACACCACCTCCAATAACATTGACTGTGCCTATGGGACGCTTCAACTTCGATCAATTAGCAACCCTGAAGAACGATCTCTTTTTAAAACCCTACACACGACGTCCCGTTCGTGAATTTCTAACGGGGACCCGTCCTGCTAGGTAGAAACTATTTTTATGGCATGCAGCATGTTTTTCGCGAAGTCTGTTCATTTTCCTGCCTTTCCTGGTCCTTCCTTGGTCAAGCGGCTTCAACAGCATGAAATGGTCGAAACTTCTACCTTTGCTCTTCCTTGGACTCTGTGCCAGACTCCTCGTCCCGCCTTTGATCAAGCTGAGTCCCAAGCAGTTGTGCGAGGTTGAACGGAGCCGGCGCTCCGTTTTGCGCTGCTGGATTGAAAAAGGGGAACAGCGGCGGAAAAGGTGATGAAAACGGACTGAAATGACTCATGTTGAGATACTCGATACTTTTTGAACCTAATCTGTCTTTCCAACTTACCCAGCCCTTGAATGTGGTAGGAGTTTTGGTGTGGATGGAGACGGTGGCGGTAAATGCCTGCCAGTAAGTGCCTGAGTGTGCTCCGAGATATGACTTTGCAGTTGCATGCCGTTCATGAACCTGTAGGAACGATGATTAGAGAGCATTTGGGACTTCGGGAAACTCTTAAATGCGGGTTTTCAACGAGATGACAAGATTTTGTAGAGTGGCCTGGTGAAAATTGGGCCTCTGAGTCCCCTGTTATGCTCACACTTTGAGGGATACGGTAGCATACGACACGGTTAGCAACAGATTGGAAAGAATTTCTTAGATCAAAAAGTTCGAACTTTTGTGCCATCGAAAAATTCTGGGTAACAAACAGTACCACTTCAATACAGCAGTAACAGCCCAATTTTCACCTTAAAATAGTGAGTTGCCCACTGGGTGACTCTCTAAGCGTAGGCTACCCGACAAGAGGCCCGTCGCGCATTGAGAAGGCAGTCGCAGACGAATCGCTGCGCGAACTGCAGTGATTTCGCATAACATCATATAAAGCCTACTACAGTACGTCCTAGATCACAGTACGCGCTGTTTCTCGTCCGCTGATCCGTCTGCGTCTCTGCCTTCTCGCCGCGCAAGGGGCCTCCTGTCGGTGGCTGCGTACCAGGACTTCCAGGAATGTAAGATCAACTCGCCGCACGCGGCGATCACCAGTGGCACCGTACCTATTACCGTATCACTCAAGCCTGGCATTTTGCCAAGCATTCAATAGCACGCATCAGCTGATGATCGCCAGCTGTTTACCATGCCTTTAGACCTTATTCTTTCGTTTCTTCAATTTTTTTCGATTTCTTCGGGAAGCCGTTACTAATGTTGGGTACGTACCCCTGAACGGCTATCGAAGAACTAAACTTTTTCAATATGAAACCTGGTTACAAATTTTCAGCCATACGTAGTGATCACTTAGGTTGTCTTTTTTACTGACCTCTTTTGACAAATGGGACATTGTTGCGTTTGCTGCAGCGGAGGTGGAAATCCGTTGAGTCCAGCCATTGGAGCCGCCATCGGGTTACCCATGGGGCCTCCCAAGCCGATCGGAACGCCACGAAACGAGTGCTTCGCTCGATGTACACCCATATGTGTCTTCAAGTTGCCTTTCGTTGTGAAAGCACGCTGACATATTTTGCACTTGAACGGACGTTCACCTGAAATATCAAACTAATTAGATCTTTTAAGGGAAGGTGCTATCGCAAGATACGGGGGCAACATGGTGGCAGTGCATTTCAGACCACGAACAACATCCCCTTTCTGTCAAACATGGGACTAAGCCTTCAGTGGAGGCTCTAGGTTCCGTGAGCGATATTTCATAATATTTCCCCGATATCCCTGTTGCCAGCTCCTAGGCCCAGTCCTAGACCATGGCCCCGTATCTTGCTCTAGCACCTACGCCAACTTTGTCTTTTTTGTCTCCCAAAGGCACACATGTGCACAACTGGGCCTGAAAGGGTTAACGATCTTGGAAAGGGAAAGGGCATACCGGTATGAGTACGGTAATGCATTTAATGCATTTGTAGCGCACTTTTGCACGACAACACTCTCCTGCAGAGAATGCACTGATTCGGGTCGGTTGTTGGCATCGCTTTGTCGCCGACCAGGGCTCGGATCTTCTCGGCTTCATCGCTGGTCGATATCTGGCATGAATTCCATTTTGATAATTGCGTTTGAAAAATGGTTATTAAACGCCAAACGCGCACAATCTCACCTCCATTAACGCTTCCCAGTCATCTTCCGTGCTCACATCAGGCCGCTGGCCAAAAAGATCAGGCCGAGGTTCGAACGGTGGTCGCATGAAGACTAAAACCGTCAAGATTAGCTCAAACCTCACCAAAGAAAGAGCTAAACCAAAGAAGAGCGTGCTAGTAAGGAAGACTTAAAGGGTCTTCCTTACTAGCACGCTCTTCTTTGCATAGGGTTCCTTAGCCTAACTTTGAAAGGTCTGTTCGGTGATACGATGAGCGAAAACTCACATGGATGAGGAGGATGCGTGTTTTGGATCGTAAATGGTGGAGGAACTGAGAGCGGAAACAGATTAGCAGGCGGTGAGCAAAGGAATCCACCTTGCCGTTGTGGGAAAAATTGCCCAAATATAGCTGGTGGTGGAGGGGCATTTCGGGTCTTCTCCACAAGGGAGAAGGAAGGTCCAGCCACTGCTGGCACAGATCCACGATCGGCATCCGGACTGGCCGCGGACGATCGACTACAGCCTGCCGAGGAAGCACGAGGGAGGGCTGATGTGCAGTCGTGTTCGCGAATCTGAAGAACAATAAGTAAGCATGTTATGTCATTGAAGAAAGATTTTGCTCTATTATAGCACCAAAAGTCAAGTGTTGCTATTTAGCAGATGCATGGCGTATCCCGAGCGCAGCTTACCTGGTCTCGATCGCCGAAACGAATGCCGCAGTGGCTGCATCGCAGAAGTTTCTCGTTTGAATGCTTCTCCATGACATGCCACAGAAAGAGCGCCACGCGACGGATACGTCTAAAAAGGGGTATTTTTATTTCACAGAAAAGAAGTTGAAGCAAGTTTTTCTGGAAATAGTTAAAGAGCACAGTAGGAGGTAATGATCAGCGAAATAGATCGCGCCATACTCTCGGTTATTGTAGAAAATCCCAGAGACACTTGAATGCGTACTAGCTCTACACGGTGACTTTGAGGCTGCAGTTGTTACTCACGTCAACGGTTTTGCATGCTCTTGCAAAACTAGATTCCATCAACCTCCCTATGGCAAATTTGGACGACACAGAATTCGATCTACCATTTTCATGGTTTGCGATGACCACGACTGCCCTTTCTCCGTATCAAAATAGCGCATAAGATAGTATCGAAGCTTTGGCTTTTCCTCACTCGCATTTTCAGCGTGCGGCTCTGAGA